GCCTTGGCCAGGCAGCTCACTGCGGGAAAACACCTGAGGCCGGTGGCTCGGGGCCACGTGACTAGCTGCCCAGGAAGGCTGCAGAACAGTGGATGGCTGAGAATGGACCCTTTGCCAGGGCGGCAGTGGCTCAGCAACTCACCAGCAAGTCACTCTCTGGCCTTAGTTTTCTCGTCTTTGAAATGGGGTCAAGAATGTCCACCTCAGAGTGCCCTGGTTAAGTATTACATGCGTTCATTTATGCCAGTGTTTCCCAAACTTCTCTCATGATGAGAATCACCTGGTGGAGTTGTTAAACTACAGATTCCTGAATCCATACTAAGAAGTGCTAAACTAGAATTAAGCTTAGAGCACTAGTTAAGTATACAATTAGGGCACTAGTTAAGTATACAAGTTTACTTCTATGTTCCCAAAAATTCTAGTTTAGCACTTTTTAGTTGGGATTCAGGAATCTGTAGTTTAACAACTCCACCAGGTGATTCTCATCATGAGAGAAGTTTGGAAAACACTGATCTATACAAAACACATGGCACTGAGTTCAATAAGTGCCAGCTGTGATCTATGCTACAGGATAGTCTCTACGAGAAAAGGGTTTGTGGTTAAAGCAGTCTTGGAAATGCTCTACACGGCATCCTTCTTGCAGATTCTCAGAGTAATTCAGCACAGTGAAGGCTCTCTGAAGTCCTACAGAAAGGATCCTACTTAATTCGTTTGGGCCCAGAATTGCCCAAACCTGTTTGCCAAGATGACCCTTTCTCCGATTTTAACACCCACGTGGTTGCATTTGATTAATAAAGGAAGTCCCATTAAGTGGTTAAAAACTGGCCATGCTTTACCATTTTGCTTTTCCCACAGGCATGCATAATTTAAAAGCAGCAGCCTAGGAAAAATGCAGGCTTCTAACCTGGAGAAAGAATAGAATGCTTTAAGAGCCCAGAGGAAATGAGACATTTCAGACAGAAGGAGCAGATCAATAACCAGCTTTTTTTGGCCACAGAGACCTTTCTAAAATTGCAGCTTTTTGCAGTTAAAGTTCAGCTCCTTTAAATTCGCACCAGTGCCGAGATTCCCCGTTCATCAGTCCCGACCCCTGCAGGCACACACCCAGCCTCCGCAGTTTGAGGCAGCTCTCGCAATTAGGAAATCCTCCCTCACAGCGGGCTGAGATTTGCCTCTCGGGAACCACCCAGGATCAAGTTAACAGAATTTTGTGTTTTAGTGAGAGCTGCCCATTTAGGAGACAGGGAAATAAGAGGCGCAGAAATGTTGTGAGTCATTATACAATGCAAAGTAACACTGCCATTGACGGAGCAGTGAACTGAAAATGAAAATTATTGGTAACAGCAACCTTTCACCTTCTGCATCTGTCAACAGGATGAATAACCGGAAGTCTAGCTATACAGTAAGCAACGAATACTTTGTGGGTGGACTTACATGGCAATTGGCAATTGCTGAGAAGAAAATCGGATACATGATTTAAGTGATTTCTATATCCCCATATTTTTTAATTTTTAAAATTTGTAAGGAGATATTTTTGAAAACGCTTTACCCAAAGCTTATGCTTCCAGCTTCATTATAAAGAAAATTAAATATAGCATTTGTCTCACAAAGGTGGATTTATTAACAAGAGTCAATAATAAGAACAGGTGACATGACCTGTATTTTATAGCTGTTTGATTCAGTGTGGAATTTCCCAGGGCTCTGTGACACCTCAAACCTAAAGGAAACTTCGTGGGGTAAAGGCATAGAACCTAACACGAGTGAGGAGAGACCAACCAGGGTCCAGGCACAGTTCAATAGGAGGTTGAGGACTTGGCAAAACCACAGAAGGGACGAGCTGCATTTTCATAGGATCGTCCCCCCAAAGGAGAGCTCCCGAGCCCAGCTCAGGGGTTGAACATCAGTCTAAGAACCAGGAGGTCACGGTTCGATCCCTGGCCAGGTCACATGCCCAGGTAGCAGGACCCCTCAGTAGGGGGCGTGCATGAGGCAACCCATCAATGATTCTCTCCGATCACTGATGTTTCTATCTCTTTCTCCCTCTCCCTTTCTTTTTTTATTTATTTATATTTTATTGACTTTTTTTTTTTTTTTTTTTTTTTTTTACATAGAAGAAGAGAGAGGAACAGAGTTAGAAACATCGATGAGAGAGAATCATTGATCAGCTGCCTCTTGCACACACCTCACTGGGGATGTGCCCGCAACCAAGGTACATGCCTTTGACCGGAATTGAACCCGGGACCCTTCAGTCCTCAGACTGACGCTCTATCTACTTAGCCAAACCGGTTTCGGTTCCCTCTCCCTTTCTATCTGTAATCAATAAAACTATATTAAAAGAAAACACACACACACACACACTCCAAAACAACAACAACAACAACAAACAAACAAAGCCACAACACAACAAGAAAGAAAACTCAGTCCCATGTTGCATTACACAACCATTTTGGTTATCTGTACCTCATTCTGACACTAAGAGGCAAAAAGGCTCACATTCCTAATTTACAACCGAGGAAACGAAGTGAAATCAAAACGGATTCGTCCTGGACAATCCTCAACAAGGATCTGCACTGACATCCCAACCGCTGGGTGAGGTCCGTCTAGCTGTGTTCACCTTCCAGTAAACTCATTCCCTCCAGTTAAACTCCAGTTTTCTTACTAATACCGATGGAAAGCAAACATGGCCTGTCCAGGAAGAGAGGTAGCACTGAGACCAACAAGTGCTGTCTGTGAGTATGCGAGGGCTTAAGCACACGGCTTGTCGGCGGATTCTGTCATTTGTGCTCCACTGTGGTGTCTATTCGAACCTGCTCACTGACACACATCTCAGAGGATGCCTCTGTCCTGTCTCTGAAATTCAGTAAGAAGACCACAGAGCACAGCATCTATCCCTTCAACATGGACTAGCAGGACATCGTATTGTCCACAGGTTCTTAGAAACGGCAACTTTAAGTGAAACAACACATAATAAAACCAATTTGACTACAGGCTGCTAAAAAAAAAAAAAAAAAAAAGAGTTAAGAGCCATATTTCTGGTCACAAAAAACAGCACTAAATCCTATGTAAGAAAGAGGTAATATGTTAATTAGACCGGGTGGCGGAACGACCTTCCTGAGCGGCCAGTGAGTGGGGCCGTGAGGGCTGAGCCCCTTGCATGAATTTTGTGCACTGGGCCTCTAGTTTCTAAATAAGGCCCCCAAACACTTCTAACATTAAACATTAACATAAAGGAGAGTTATACATACATTTAAAAAGACTAATAAAAACGAGCAAAATCATTCTTTTCCAACCCATTTACTCCATTTCATGGTGACAGGTGGCTGGAACCCGTCCCTGTAGTTCAGGGCACAAAGCAGGACCCAACCCTTCCTGGAAGGGCCACTCACACTCACATCCACACCCTCACTCTCGCCCACACTCCACTCACACCCACACCCTCACCCACACCCACACCCACACTCAGTCTGCGACGATGTAGACACACCAGCCCCACTCACGTGCACATCTTTGGAATGGGGCTTAGAAACCCGAGTCCCCAGAGAAAATCCAGACAGACTTGGGGGAGAGGGTGCAACCTCCACGCAGACAGTGGCCTGGCGGGGAATCACATTTTCCTCATCGATGTTATAACGAGACGACGTCGAAGAAAACACGAGTCAAGGTCCAGCTGAACGGCATCAGCGTCGTTTACCCAGTGCCCGGCATCCACAGGACACACCTTTGGAGCGCCTAAGATGAGGCCGAGCAAAACGTGGTCCCTGACTTCCCGAGCACTAGCAGCCGAGTGAGAAAGAGACCGCTGAGCGAACCAATAAACTCCCACACCGAGTGACAGGGCCAGCTGGAGGCAGGCACATGGTGCCGCGGGACGCGGCAAGTCTCGGAGGGACAGCCTTCCAAGCGATCAGCAGCAGCAGCATCTCTGGCTCCGATCCCAATTCCCAGCACTCAGGTGAGAACGGGCCCTCGGACCCTGCCTTTCTGAGTTCCTTACACCAGTGTTCCCCAAACTTCTCTCAGAATGAGAATCACCTGGTGGAGTTGTTAAACTTCAGATTCCTAAATCCCAACTAAGAAGTGCTAAATTAGAATTTTGGGGAACATATAGGTAAAATTGTATACTTAACTAGTGCTCTAAGCTCTTACATGCGTTCATCTATACCAAACACATGGCACTGAGTTCAGTAAGTGGCAGCTGTGATCTATGTTACAGGATAGTCTCTATGAGAAAAGGGTTTGTGGTTAAAGCAGTCTTGGAAATGCTCTATACGGCATCCTTCTTGCAGATTCTCAAGAGTAAATCAGCACAGTGAAGGCTGCGTGAAATCCTATAGAAAGCTCTAAGCTTAGAGCACTAGTTAAGTATACAATTTTACCTATATGTTCCCAGAAATTCTAGTTTAGCACTTCTTAGTTGGGATTCAGGAATCTGTAGTTTATTAACTCCACCAGGTGATTCTCATCATCAGAGAAGTTTGGGAAACACTGCCTTACACCATCGCGGCCAGATTGAGCGCCTGGGATTGTTCCCAGAGAGACGAGGAGAGGAGGAGAAGAACATAGAAAACGAAGAACAGAATTGGAAAGCGCACGGCACGCAGACAGGTGCTGGAAGTTGCTAGAGGTGGCCAGGGGCAGGAAGGGAGACCACCCTGAGCCTGGGCAGCCCATGTCCTGGATCTGGGTGCAAAATCTAATCTCGGACCCACCTTTCTTTTTGCCAGACAAGGAGACATATAATAGAAACGAGGTCTTCCTCCATCCAAGGACACTTGCTGAGCCCAGCCCTGCCACGGCCGGCGAGGGTGGCAGGAGGAAGGCGCAGAGCACAGTGCTGCCGGGAGGGCGAGGCCACACTCCTTTGCCAGCTCCCCAAGGCGACTCCCCCACAGAGCGTCCCGGGTCTCCCACCTCCCCGGAGAGGGAACACATCCTGTGGGACCCCACGCCCCACCGGGCCCCACCGGAGACCCACCAACAGGAAAGGGGTGAGCCATTACCTCAGGCTGTCCTCCAGGGTCTCCTCGTCGGAAGAGAAGGTGCCATTGCTGACGCTCTGAGGAGAGCGGCTCTTCCTCCCTGCCTCCGCCTCCCGGGAAATCGAAGTGTCTTTCTTTTTCCTTTTGCCAAACAACTTCTTAAAAGGCTGGAACTTGCCTCCCTTCTTCTTGTCTGCGGATTACAGGATAAACACGCGCTGCGGTTTGACGGGGCTGCACCCTGGAGCCTCAGAGCAAATTACAGCCGGGCTGCCCGGCCCGGGGCGCCAGGGCAAAGGGCAGGCATCACAGGGAGCGGGCGGCCAAGCCCTGTGCCAGGAGTGCCAGGGCCTGCCCTGTCCGCGCACCGTCAGGCGGAGACAAGCCGGGAGCGCAGGGAGCGTCGGCCTCAGGCTCCCTCCAAGCACCTGGGACCACACCAAGGGGTTCTAGGCTTCAAGGCGCAGAGGTGGTGTCTGCTGTCTCTAACAAAGAGGGTGGCCCGTGCCCTTCTCCACGGCAGAAGCTGAGATGACACACAAGCCACACGGCTGTGTAAGAAGATGTGTGTGTGGATCATCTCTTCTGAGCAGCATTCTTTGAGCCTTTGCACACAGAAGAAAACCGCCACCCCTTGGTATAAGCGTTGCCCCCCACCCCCTCCATCCCCATGTAGTTCTAGTTTCTCTCTCGAGTGTCTCCTTTTAAAACTACTGCGAAGAGCCCCACAGGAATCGCTAATGAACATTTTTCCATTCATTGCTTCATCCGGCCAGGACCCAGGCTCCCAGCCAGCACTGCCTACAGGTATTGTGGGTAATACCTTCCAGTTCAGTTTCAGATACAAATTCCTCACATCGCTCCACTCCCACCTCGGCAAAGGAAGTAGAAATCACCCCATACCAGAGGATCTTCTCAGATTTTCCATTTAAGAAGTTTAAAGGGGAAAACAAAAAAAAAGTTTAGAGAACCACGCATCCAGTGGGCAGGTACTCTTTTTTTCCCCTTAAATTATTTAACCCTTACTATGCATCACTGCTCTAAGAACTTTACAAATAGGAACTCAGTCCTCATCACCATTCTCTAAGGTAGGCAGCATTAACATCGCCATTTTCCAGATGAGAAGTCTGAGGTACAGAGAGACGTGCTAACTTGTCTATGTAATGGGAAACATATCTTTGAAGCTGGAGTCAGGAGCTTTGAGGGAAAAGGAAAGTTTAAACATTTCTATACACAATGTGTATAGAAAAACACCGGTACAAAACACAGGTATGGGGCCCCCAAGTTAGCATCAGAGCCTCCAGAACTTTGCTCGACAGAGTCTACAGAGAGAGCTGGGTATAAAAACATGGTTAATGATGTTCCAGGTAGTTGCCTCATCTACTCTGGTGATCTTCAGCTCTGGCTTTTCTGAGAAAAAATCTGAAGGGGGAAGGAAGTGTTTTAAATCACTTTGCCCTAAGCAGTGTCATAAGACAGCGAGGAAGCAGATACAATAATCACCAATTACAAAAGACATAAACTGGGATCCTTCGAATAGACACAAACAGACCTTCCAGCATCAGTGGTCCCTGAAATGACGCTGTATCATATCACATTGAAAAGGAAGGCAGATCTCTAACAGGCAAGATGCCTTCCCCACCCAAGGCTTTATGCTAGGCATGTGTAGTCCTCAGAAGAGTTAAATGTTCATTTGTAAAAGACGATAAAGTGTGCAATACAATTGAGATAATATCATTAAAAATGGTAAAAGATAATCAGAAGATTTGATTTTAAAATGTTTGTATGCTTTCGGTGGTCACTTATTCAGGAGTACAGGCCAGAGATTTTCGCGAGATCTTCTTTTGGTCTCCATGAGCAAAATCTCCAATGGATAATTTTTTAAAATTACCACCAGAGGATTTCCAAGGCCAGCAAAGAACATTAGACAAGTGTTAAAAGAATTGACCTTATGTAAAATGAATCAATTAAGTATCTTAAATTTAAAAAAAAAATTCTGTAAGGCATTACATGTATCATTACATTATTATATAATTGGTCTTTGGCTGATAAGACCAATTATATAATAATTGGTCTTTCTTTATGACTATCTAAGGCTCAAAATATGTAAATGACACTATTATTGTGAATGGTCATCATGATAAATGGTCAAACAGCAATTTATGCTAATTTCATTTATTTCTGAAATAAATTCTTCCTTCTTCCCTTTTTTATCAGTTGCCTTTTTCTCACAGCAGAAATATCTAACCCTAAGTTGTCTAACCAGGAATATTCTAAAAGACCACAGCAATAACCTAAAAACATCCATAATGAATCATTACTCCCAGCCTGGGCCCACTAATCCAGCCTCGAAGTTAACTAGAGAATTTTTAAAAAATATATATTTTATTGATTTTTTTCACAGAGAAGAAGAGAGAGGGATAGAGAGTTAGAAACATCGATGAGAGAGAATCATCTATCAGCTGCCTCTTGCACAGCCCCTACTGGGGATGTGCCCGCAACCAAGGTACATGCTCTTGACTGGAATCGAACCCGGGACCTTTCAGTTCGCAGGCCGACGCTCCATCTATTGAGCTAAACCAGTTTCAGCTAGAGAATTTTTTATTGTGTCAGAATTCATTGATAGAAAGAAAAGGTCCTCATTTGCTCTAAAGTCTAGGTGGATGTGGTGGCGTTCAATTGAGCTGGAACCAAGGCAGTGAATGATCATCAGAGACAAATTACAGTTTCTTGAGCAGGTTATTCGTGTATTTAACTAACGGGTGACTTGGTCAGTCAAGAAGGCAGATGCGGTCCTTTGTGTTGCCTCCATGTCCAGAACAGTGGCAGCCACCATATAAAGTATTTGTGGTATTGGCCACATTGTTGGGGGGAAACAGAGAGTGAACAGAACCTGGAAAGAGCTGAATACAAACACAGAAACAGCCGTGGGGAGATGCCAGGATGGGCAGCTTCAGCTCGGAGAGCCTGGTGGGCTGCGTGCGAGCAGAGAATGGCCTCCCTTAGGGGCCCGGTCTGCAGAGCTGGCCCGTGGAGGACTGTTTGTGAACCAAGCACTTCAGCACTTTAGATGGCAATAACTTGGCGTAAGTACACACGTATTATCCTGGAAGACGTGTCAAAGTCCAAATGTCAGAGAGCATGCAGCTCAGAAGTACTTGGGAAGGGCTGTTTCAGCAATCCTTTGGTTGTTATCAGGAAGGTAAGAGATCAGTAAAACCTACCCGAACTACCTATCCAGCAACCACTCCTTCCTGCCGTGAGGAAAAGAGCGTCTAAGTCCTGAGAATGCCATTCTCTCTTGGGAGGAGGGGTCAGAACACGGAAGCTTACAATCTGCTTCAAAGACTTAGTCTTTGGTCACATCTCTGTTATCAAAAGTAATTTCCACTTTTCTCATTTGGAAAATTAGTAATACACTTTCTGTCAAACTATCCTGACATTTTAAATAAAATTTAAATGTGTATTTTAAATATTTTTACTAATGACTATGGCAATTAATTAATTTTCCAGGGCTAACTTTATGAAAAGTCCCAGTAACTACATTTAGGCCCACCCTACATTCAGACAGCAAACTGTGATTAAGCAACATCAATATGGAATGAACCTATAAATCAGAGGAGGAATTACATTCTTATTGAGTTGCTCCCCCCAGTTTTATTCCCAAAGTTCAATATAAGATTTTTCACATCAAAAAAACAAGTACCTATTTTATTTTTTTATTGTTTTTAATCCTCCCCCTAGGATATTTTTTTCCATTGCTTTTCAGAGAGGGAAGGAGGAAGAGTGACAGAGAGAGGAATATCAATGTGAGAGAGACACATCAGTTGGTTGCCTCCCACATACACCCAGACTGAATGTGGGGAGCAAACCCACGATGCAGGTACATGCCCTTGACTGGAAATCAAACCCTTGACCCTTCAGTGTGAGGGACAATGCTCTAACCACTTTGCACACTGGCCAGGACAACAAGTACCTACATTTTATGAAACATTTATAATTCTATGCCACAGCAACCATTATGAGAACCTGAGATGTGTCTATAAATATGCATTAAATGAACTATTTTATGATCGATTTATGATTTGGAGGTTGTATTAACAGTCTGTCTCCACAGAATCAACTGGCTAAGTGCATGGTCATCATCAGCAGCTATTTTCTTGACAGATGACACCGACTGTTACCGTGAATGTTTTTTGTACAGATGGGGCCTAAAAGATCAAAGCAATTTTTAACAACGCAGAGTACTTCTGCAATGCTGATGTGAAATATCCCAAAGACAACTGCCATAGAGAAGAAGAGTTTAGCAATGCTTTCTCCGACAGAGTATTTTAAGATGGTATTTTAGAATTTTACAACACAAATTTAATTTGGTTGGGTGGTTGGGGCAGTGGGGAGAAGGAGAGAGAGGGAAAGAGGAACCATTCCCTCTATTAAATTGTGTGTGTGTGTGTGTGTGTGTGTGTGTGTGTGTGTTAAATTGGCTACAGCTCTAGTTAGGGGTTATGTACATGGGCCTCAGAGATAAGGCTAGTTGGCCCAAATCCCGATTCCATTTCTTATGAAACATCTGCTTAGCAGCCTCTCTGGAAATGTACCATCTTAAGATGTAAGACTGAATTTATTGGGGAAAAGATAATGGGTGCCACATTGTCTTAATATCTCACCATTTTTGTGTTGTAATTTTTCACATGAAAGAAGGTACATATGCATATATACTACCTTCAGGGATCATGGTAATTTTCATTCTTTGAGTACTAAATTACTTTCATCACCCAACTATTATATTAGGGATTTTTTTCCATTTAAAAAATGTGCTCTTTATCCATTATTTCATAGATATAATTATATACTGGTTGCATCATCATAATTGCTAGTTTACATAGAAGTTTCTAAAAATTAAAAATCACTGGGCAAGTCAGGCAAATCTGACTCGTTTTCCATTTGTCATAAGGATGCAATTCTTACATTTCATTTCTAAACCTAACATAATAAAAGCATACAATTTCTCTGCATTGGATTATTCATATGGTACGCTTTCAGATGAGAAACAGAATTTCCTATCATAGCTCATTTGGAGATCATAAATGTTGTCGCCTGGGGTTTCGCAGACTGGGCTCTGTGTGTCGGTACCAGGTTCTTATTCAAAGACCAGGACATTTGAGAATCTGGGTAAAATAAAGTTAGATATGT